TGATTTTATTCTTTTTTTAATGAGGTTGATCGAATTTGACGCTATTATTTCTCGTCTCAAGTTTTCTGAAACTTGGTTGAAAACTTTTTTACATAGGTACATGTGATTTCTTCTGCCAAGGTTTTTTTTTGATGCATTTGTTTTTATGTGTAGTTGTGTTTTCTGACGAGTTTGGTAATTGTGTTCCAATGCTTGTAAAATGTCATTTTTGTTTTTATATGTGTGTATCAAGAGATTATAAAAAAAGAGTTGCCTCAAATCGAATATCTTTGTTTCAGTAAATAAATCTTCGGTAGGATAACTTCTTTTTTTATGGTACATGACTTTCAGAAAATATTTTTGTAATGTCATTAGCTTTTTTAAATGTACATTTAGTGCTCCGCCCCAAGCAAGTATGCCATATTTCATCCTGGACTCTATGAGGGCATAATATAAGATTTTCAAATGGTAAGTTTCCAAGATGTTTGAGAAGATTTTGAATCTGTATAACATGCTTCTAAGGGTATTCACTACATTTTGTATATGTTTGTCCCATCTGAGATGTTGGTCAATTGTTATACCTAAATATTTTATTTCGCTAGTTGTTTGTATTTCCATTGATTCATTATTCATTTCTATCGATAGTCTATCAAAATCTGGAAGTTTATTTTTATAACTGGCATAGGGCATAAACTTTGTTTTTTCAAAATTTATTGTCAGTTTCCGTGAGCTGAACCATTTTATGATTTTCACCATGTCAATTTCCGTAGCTGTTTTCAAATCATGCCAATTGGAGTCCTTGTAAAAAATCACTGTGTCATCTGCAAAACTCGTGATTTCACCGATTGTATCGAGTGAAAGTAAATTATTTATATAAATAGTAAACAGTATGGGTCCAAGAACTGTTCCCTGGGGAACTCCACATAATACTACTTTCTCATTACTATACGTTTCTTGAATTTGTACAATTTGTTTTCGATTTGATAAATAGCTAGTGAACAGCTTATGTGGAGTTCCCCTTATACCTATACTCTCCAAGGTATCTAACAATAGTATATGGCTTACTGTGTCAAATGCCTTGGCGAGATCAAGGAAAATGCACAGAACTGAATCCCCTGAGTCTACTGCTTGATAAACATTTGTCAGTAGACTACTTATAGCATCATTTGTTGATTTTCCATCCCTGAATCCAAATTGTCGGTCTGATAATAATTTGAATTTAGTTAAGTATTTATCCAGCCTATCATTCAATATTTTTTCAAAAATTTTTGTCAAATTTGTTATTAATGATATCGGCCTGTAGTTGATTGGTAGCGTTTTGTCTCCTTTTTTATGTAACGGTTTGACTACAGCCAATTTGAATTCTGAGGGAACACAGCCGGTATCTATGATCATGTTTATTAAATATGACAGTTGATGTGATATTTGCTTGGAAATCATTTTCAATGTTTCAGCCTTTATCATGTCATATCCTGGAGCTTTGTTGTTTTTTAGAGTCATAATTGTGTTTTCGATTTCAATATGGTTCGTTGGCGATATAAAAAGAGATTGGGATGTTGGGTTATTAGGGGGTTTTGTATCATTTTGGGTTGTTATTTTTTCAGCCATTTTCACACCTATATTGACATAATATTCATTGAAAATATTCGCAATATCTAGATCATTGTCAAAAATTTCCCCATCATCATTACTTATTTTTTTTATATCTTGGTTACCATTTGACGGAATAATGGAATTTATTGTCCTCCAGAGGTATTTGCTATTGTATTTATTTCGACCAATTTGATCTTTGTAGTAATGATTTTTTGTATTTTTTATCAGTAGGTTGAGATGATTTTTATAGTTTTTGTATTGTTCCTTGTATATATTTGGATTAGCTTTGAATTTTTTTAATAGGTCATGCTTTCGATTTATTGATTGTAGAATGCCATTTGTCATCCAACATTTCCTGCCTATTTCTTTCTTCTTTTGTTTAATAGTGGTAGTTCTATTTTTTAAAACACTACTGAGCGTGGCAACAAAGTAGCTGGCAGCTTCCTGCACATCTTTGATGTTATAGAATTTTGTCCAATCGTATATTAACAAGTCCTCCTTGACTCTTTCGTAATTAATATATTTTTTACATCTAGGTAATTCTTTCTGCTTACCTTCACACTCTTGGATTTTTATACATATAGCTAAAGTGTAGTGATCGGTCAGGCTTGTTTCAATTATACAGGGGAGGCAGGTGTCTTCGATAGCATTTGCTGATGTACTTTTGAGAAGGCAATGGTCAATACAGCTTTTCACATGAGTAATTTTGTTGATTAGAGAATTAAAATTATATTCGCCCAGTATATTAAAGTAATGATCAACCGTTTTATCATTTTTATCCAATAAGTTCAAGTTTATATCACCAGTTATTATATGATTATTTACTGATAATGATTTAATTTGTTTCAGGTAATATTCAAATTGATCAATGAATGCCTCAGGATTCTCTGAGGGAGACCTATATATACCTGTGACTATTGTCTTCTCTTTATTCTTGAATGTTATTTCTATTTCAATACTTCTGCAGTCACCAATGCTTACTATTTTGTATGTGTAGTTATAGTGACTTAGAATAAATACGACAACTCCATCGTTTTTATTATTTTTTCCAAAACTATATAATAAATCATAACCTTCTAGTGAGAAAAATGCTGGGTCTGAAAGTTGGAACGTTTCGGTTAATACTATGCAATCAAACTTAATTTTACTTTCAGAGAGAAGCACTGTGAGTTCGTCAAAATTTTTAGACATACTCCTTATATTTTGATGTAACAGATTGAAAGTCTTTTCACGATCTATTCCACATTTATAATTATTATAATGGTCTATGTCTTCGAATACAATTGTGTTTGTGGGGATATGATTGTAATCTCTAATAAGGGGGTCCATAGTGTGAAACAGTGATCAATGTAAAAATATAGAAGTGTCGAATTTTGATTGAATCTTAATGATGCGAAACAAATATATACTATGAATGTGAATCAGATCGGCGTACCTATATTTATACCTATTATACTATACATGAATATCAAAATCATATCAATCATCAGTATATTTTCTTGTTTCGTGTTTTTCTTTTAGTATGTGGGCTAGTCGAAGGACTAATCGATTTGGACTTCTTTCTCTTCTTGCGTTCTTCTACGTTCTGCTTATTGGAGTTGGCAATTTCGGAACTTTTCACATCAGTTTTCTGCGTAATAGTTTTCTGCGAAGAACTACTAGTGGTCTCCTTCTGCTGATGTTTATTCACTTCCTCCTGAGATTCCTCTTCTGTAATATCGGAATATTCATCGGAACTCTCTAGATCAGAATCTGGGTCGGGCTGTTCCAAATCACTGATTGAGTACCATTTTCCGTCTATCTCAATTTTACTTCCATTTATTCTGGCTACCTTTCCCTCCGATCTTGCTTTATTCAAATGCTTGCGTAGGATTTTCAGGTCTTCTTGGTCTCTTCTGCATAGATCATTCGTTATCGAGATGTTTTTGCCCCTGAGATTTTTAAGTTTTCCTTTATCCTTAAATATCTCGATTTTCTTCAAGAACGAAATGAATTCAACTATAACTGGACTACTTTCAGTTTTGTTCAATTTATATATATTATTTATATCATTGGTAGTGAAATTCAAATCGAAGAGACTATTCAATAGCTCGATCGTTTCTTGGATTAGGTTTTCCTTGAATCGAAGTCCAAAAATAACTATGTTATTTTTCCGAGCTTTTCTCTGCATGAAAAGACACTGCGATTCTAATTCACGGATTTTTTCATTGTTTTTCCGCAAATCAACTTTTATTTCACTCAAATTGTCTTTGAATTCCTTTTTGAGTTCTGTTGTCTGTAATTTCAAGAGTTTTTCTATATTTTCTAGAGTAATGTCAGTCATTGGAACTTGGAGCGTGATTTTGTTTAGCATAAATATAAACAGAGACGTTTCAACCACTCTCAACGCGTGATCGAACGAATACTGACTGATTCTGAAGGCGATGTCGGTTTCAAATGCGATATCAGTGGCACGGCCTAGCAGGACACCCGAAAATGGCCTCTACGTTATCTCTCGATGTAAACAGATCAACATACCTGTCTTTCGGGAACTTTCAAGAACTTTTCTTCGTTTTTTCTGGTGCACAAAATTGAGTCATTCCATATCACAGTATATTCGATAATTTATGCGATATTTTTGTCAACTTTTACCACTTATTAACAACAATTTTCATCATAGCACACAGCGACGATACCGACACGTACTTGTTCGACCAATAAAGTCAATTGATACAACAAAATTATTGAACTTTGACCCCCTGTAGCTCCGCTTCTGGACGAGATCGGACTAATGTTTATATGAACTTATCCGATTGAAATGATGAGATCTATCTCCCATCACAGTTTGTGCCTCAAAACCTGAATCACCCTGTATAAACAGTTGACCATTCGTGATATGTATATCATTTTGTACATGAGTTACATCAATTCTAAGCTTTCAAGTTGTCATCACCCTATATATGGCAACCCGGACATTGTATCAGAGGAAATCATATGAATCCTCATGTTGATGATCAAGATTCATGGTGTGTCAAATAATTGGCGGATTCTAGCCGTTTGTTTTCAAGTATTCAGTGATTGAGTTAGAATTGAGAATTTGATATTTTCAGTATTTGTCTATTTCCATGAATATTACCTTGTCATGATGGAATGCAATACCCTGTATGTGATATTATTATCTATCATGAGGTAGAAATTAAACGTGGAGCGTTTCTTTCTATTGAATATTTATCACGACTTAGAGCACCATTCAAATCGATGCAAAATATTCTATACAGCCAGAATCAAATGATTGACACACTTTAGCTCGAAAACGGGTCATAGTATCGATCTGTGAATTGGACTGTATAATAAGTACGCTTATATCTCAAATATATCAAATTTTCAGAGAAATTAGCCGAAGGCCATTTTCTGCATTGCTGCAAAGTCCACCATAAATTAAAATTTACCTAGATAATCGAAGTCATCGGTCATGCTCTTGTTGTCCCCACTCTCTCCAGCAAAGGTCAAGTCGTAGTCGGGCAATACTAACCCTACCATAAGGGCCATTAGAGCCCCTATCACCACCACTGATATGGTCACGATAAGCATGACTATGTCGCAGAGCAGCATTATGAAGCATCAACAACTTATCTTATATGATGTCGACAGATTTCATGCGATTGCAACGACAACTAGTCGTTGTCCTAGAAACACAAACTACATTTTTGACGTGTCGCACAGTCGCATGTCTTTATAGAAATTACAGGGTGAATTGGTAGTTGTGAAGTCGAGTTGGGACACCCTTGTCTCCATTGAATTAATTCTGCTTCTTACTTTCCATATATCTTTCCATTCACTTGAATGTCAACGAATCTATCAGTCAATTCATTACTTCTTGATATGAATTTACAACCTAAAGGTTAACTGAACTATGCGAACTATTGCTACATTAATTCAATTCTTCAAGCACTAAATGCTTGTCCTCCATTTTTGAATTTATTAGTTGGTCTAGCACAGGAAATTTCATCAAGTTAAAATAGATATCCCACTCCAATTATTGATGGCATGTGTCGCTTTGTTCAGGAATTCAACCATCTGTCGCTGGTGAAGAAGACGAGTGGCAGAAACTTTTACAAACAAGACGGCAAGAAAAGGAGACGTTTTGATCGACACGGTCCCATTCGAGCTTATCTGGATCTACAAGATGTTGGCTAATTTTCGGTCGTACCTGATTGAAGGCAGGCAGGAAGACACAGAAGAGTTCCTCGGATTCCTACTGAACGGCCTCAACGACGAGATGTTCGAATTGATGACACCAGTTTTGGATTCGGAGAATATTTGCAGTGTTGCAGTCAATAAGACGCATTCGAAAAGAGGTCAATACGTGCTATTTTTGGCGGCCACTTGAGATCGAAAATCATGCGAGCTGGAGATGTTTCCACGGAGAGTATTCAACCGTTCCTGACTCTGTAACTGAATGTCGACAAAGTGAAGACGATCAAAGAGACTCTGAAGACACTTGTGAATAAGGAGCAGCTGGAACGATTGACTTGTCCTAACACAAACGGAGTGGTACAGGCGTGGTAGCAATTGATGTTGAATGTGCTGCCAGTCATTCTCATTGTGCATCTGAAATTCTTCGATTTCAAGCCAGACGGCTGTACGAAAATCATCAAGGCGTTGGAATTCCCTGTCGTTGAAATTGAATCGAGGTTGTTATCTTCGAAGTTACAAACGCCCGAAGGAAGAAAGTAAATGTTGTTTGCCGTGGTAAGGCAACCAGGGGCCACTATTTTACCGATGACTTCCAAATTTAACATAGCTGTTGGTTGCGCCACAGATTAACAAACTAATCTGTGGTTGCGCTTCGATGACGCCACATTTAGGACAGTCACCGAAGAGCAATCGGGTGGAATAATTGACTTCTAGGATGGGATTTGTTATTTAAAAAAGAAACGAATTGTATTCAAACTACGTAATTTAATAGATAAATCTAGAATATTAGTAATGTGAAGAGGATAGTTTCCGCATATCTTTCACTTTCCGGTCACTTCAGATTTCACCGGAAATTACTCCGGTTTTGAATTATTCAATAGAACACCCTGTATAATACAACATTTTTGGATTTATCTAGAGTAACTTTCAATATCGCATCTAGGTGGCTGAACAAATACCAAGACAAATACCATTTGAAAATTCAAAATCGGAACGATTTTCGCTGAAACCATCTACCAATATACCAAATCTCATTTTGATATCCCCCATATTCCAGACTTGTATAATAGATTCGTTGACACTCAGGATATTATGATCATATAGTCGACCTTCCTTCCTCCTAGTTACGAATGGGATTATTCAATTTGTTCTCCTGGTCAAATGATGACGTCATTCCGAAAGATATTTCAAAGGGGATGGAGGGTCGAGTGAAGTAATACGGCGACCGTTTTCAAAAAGTCATTTTTTCACAGATTCTACGGAAAATACAGGATGTGAAGCAGAACAGATTATACCTCACTTCTTCCTTGGATATTAAAGTTATATACAGGGCGTTTGAGTAGAATAAATATTGAATATGACCTGTGTTGGATATACAAGGTGTCCCAGAACAACGTACCATAAATTAATAATAATAATAATAATAATTATAATAAACGTCTTTATTCGTTTTAATGTTTATACAAACATATGGCAGAACGAAGTTTAGCCATCATGGTTACTCTTACACCTAATCCTGCACATTGATATACATAATTCACAAACTCAACATACTTTAATCACTAAATGAAGATAACTTGCAATAAAATCTATGATACATTATAATTGAATATAATCTCAAATAAACTGGGCGTCAATTGAAACGTTAATAGTGAAATTTGGCATCAAGTTTGACTTCTCGTAATTTCTAAAATATTGAACGAATTTTGAATTGCCGCCCAGATTCTAAATGCCTTTTTCATCGTCTTTCGAACCGTTCCTTACAGCTTCTTCTAAATTGATACAGGGTGAAACAAAGTTTCGTGCATTTTGAAACAAATTTCTCCGCCCCCCCATTTTGTTGGAAGACCACGATGCTCATATTTTATTCAGGCATTTTATAAATAGCCACCATACCTCGGGACGTTTTCGAGTTTTTGCCAAAAAGTGCTGTGGTTTACGAAAGAAAAAATTGTTTTTGCATTTTTTTCAAATGGACTAATTTTAGAGAAGTGCATTACTTGTATCCTCAAAACAATGTCAGTCTATTTATTGTCATGACTGACTTATTGAAAATGGTACTTAAATGAGTTCGGGTATATCCTAATCGTCGTAACCTGAAATAATAATCATCTGTACTGAATTATAGTTTATATCACTATAGTTATCTTACCTCGATTTGAACGAGGCATCTTTGAATTTTTTAGGACCCGAATTACACTGACGTTTTCATGAAAATTGGCAAGTGATATAAACTCTATGCATACCTACATTGTTTCAACAATACGTTGTTATGGAAACAAGGTATCGTTGTTTGTTTTTATTGATGAGATGTGTTGATTTACTGCTCACTAAGGTAGAAAACTTTTATCATAGACTGCGAAGTAATAAATTATTGATTGTTTTTGAGTAACCTGGTATACATATCTGCTCCAACGCTTTCCTGAAATGCATAAAAGCATCCATTTATGGAACTCCTCCTAAATTAGTCCATTTAAAAATAATACAGATACATATTGTTTTCGGAAACCACAGTAGTTTTTGGTAAAAACCCGAAAACGTCCCGAGGTATGGTTGCTATTTATGAAATGCCCGAATGAAATATGAGCATCGTGGTCTTCCGACAAAATGGGGGGGCGGGGAAATTGTTTTCAAAATGCACGAAACTTTGTTTCACTCTGTATCATGGGTCCTGATCAATTTAGAAGAAGCTGTAAGTAACGGTTCGAAAGACGATGAAAAAGGCATTCAAAATCTGGGCGGCAATTCATAATTCGTTCAATATTTTAGAAATTACGAGAAGTCAAACTTGATGCCGAATTTCACTATTAACGTTTCAATTGACGCCCAGTTTAGCATTTTAGGTTTTTTGAAAGAATAAATAATATTAATTTTGAAAGAGGAATCAAATGAATTGTACAATTTCACACCATTATAGGAAAAAGATTTCTGGTTTGATGCTGTCGAATGGCGCGGTATATGCAATGAGTTTTTCACTCTTACATTCACATTATGTTGTTGGTTACGGAATATTAATTTGTTTCTCAAAAACAAGTAGGGAAGCCCAAGCGGGGATTTCGGGATTTACTGGATCGCGGCAGATCAACATAAGGGGAGTATCCTTGGACCTTGTGAACTACTCCCACCATACTTGGGCCCTTGTATGTATATGGTGTCGAAAGTTTAGGGTAGCCGATCAAATAAGTAAAAAAAAATCGATCGTCAGAAACACTCGAGCGCGTCAGATTAAGACATGGTACATTAATTACATGCAGAAAAGTGTGCATTTCGATTTTTTTACGATTTGAGCGTGACCTAAAGAAATGGGAGAGCCTCAAAGTTGCAAAATTAAATCGTCCCCAAGTTTCTCTGATGAAGCTTACCATGTATTAGTGACGTAAGCAAGTAAATCACCAGTTGATCTTCGGTGGAGAAAGCCAAAAGTCCAGAAAATCCGTTTTTGGCTTCGAGATATGATACTTATAGAAGTGAGGTTTGGCTAGAAATAGAGACAAATTCATCACTTACAAAAATGGCCCTCAGGGTTCTTTTCGTTGCACTAATATTTCTTGCAAAAGGTGGATTGCAATAATCCTGAGCATTGTCGAAAACTCCGGAAACCAAAAAAAACAAGAAAAACACGTCGTCTGTAAAAATACACACAAATTATTTATTGATTTGGATTCGGTAAAACTATTATTGTGTGAAATGATATAATAGTTATTTATGTATCAAGGGCGTAAAGTAGGCGTTTATGGCCTGTGGCGTGAATAATGGCCCGATGCCGCTAGTCGAGAGCCATTACATGCTGAACTGGAGGCCATAAACGCATTTCACGCACGTGATACATACAAAATTTTATGCACTAGTGGTTTTTTTCTTGACTCAAAAGTAATGACTATATATTTCGATAAACTAATATCCCCCCGAATTTAATTTGTTACGTATAAATTCAGTAATTAAGAGAAGCGTAATGTTCATGGATAATTTACATATGAAAATTATAGTACGAATATTGCAATTAATCGTAATAGTAAAACTCTTTAATCTCTAGAAGAGATTCATTCTTCAGAATTTCACAATATGCATACCCAGTATATTATACCTAACTAGCTTTGACGTTGTCAATCAAGCTGATGGTTGTTGTCTATAGCAATACATTCAATAAACGAGCTGGATTGTCATTCTTTGACTGAAAAGTAAAAATTAGTGATAATAATAATAGCGAGACTATGGAATCGGATGAAGAAGAAGTTTATGATATACCGCTGGATATATTTGAATCTAGGAAAATGATCATAGGTTTTTCATGAATTGATATGTGGATATAAGGTAACTATAAGAACAGCGGGCGGTAAAGTGCACTTTACGGCCCGTGGGCCATAATGAGCCCGCGGGCGGTTAAGTGTGACTTAACGCCCACAAAACCGGGCGGTAAAGTGCACTTCACGGCCCGCTAGTGCATAAATGGAATTAATAAGGGAGAGTCAAATATCGAGCAAAAACAAACTTTGGTCAGATTTTTTATGTTCTAGAAAAATAAAAGAAGAGAAGCGGTTATATGATATTATAGCTACAGGACCCTTCTTTCATATGAACTTTGTATCATGAAAAAAGATCGATTTTACCCAAGTTATGGGGTAACTTGACGGCTCGCTCATGCCTTTATTCACAGAGCTCGCTTTCCGAGGCGCGGCGCAGCAGCTCGAAATCCAGGCTACGCTTGGGCCCGTTCATCTCGGATACAGTCAAACCTTTGACATGAATGTAGGAAAAAGGGATTCTCAGGACCATGTAGCCATTTTCCTGTCCCTTCAGTCAGTCCAGTAATGTCCCGGTAGACATAATATCTTCAGAGAGTAATCTACCCATGAACACCTACAAATTGAAAATAATAGTCTGGGATCTATCTGATGTCATGGTTGGTACCATCGTTCACTAGACTACATGGAGAGTAATGTCATCTTCCAAGCTGTGGATAGGGCAAGTGGTATTACTGCCAACATATCATCGATATGAAGTAGAAACAATGTTGGTGCTAAAATTGATCCTTGTGGAACGCCGGAATTGATGGTAATGTTATCAGACCATAGTTTGAGAAGGAGTTATTGGTGCCAAGAACAGTCGAATGCCTTCGACATATCCAACGCCACAGATAAACATTCCTCATGTTTCTCTAATGAAGCTTGCCATATGTGGGTGGCGTAGGTGAAT